CCTCAATATCCACACCTTGTCCCTCTAAAGCAACCTTAAAAACATCAGACTTATCAACTAATTGTGTGTCGTCATTGTCTACCAACGGAACAATATCTTCATCATCTTCGCTAAATTCAGTAAGACTTTCACTGAACCGTCCAACAAGGTTATCATCACCATCACTTGCATGTAGTTCAGTGGTGCATACTTCTTCTGTTCTTCGAGCTGGTAATGATGTGGTTAGAATATCAGTTGTATTCGTGGTTTCAACATACATTTCCAACATATTATTATTTGATGATTTATGAAGTCCAACCATAGCAGCAACATCGTCATCATCATCAAGCTGAACTTTTCCATATGTAATTGGATTTGAGGAGATCATGTGCCGATAACTTAAACATGAAACAGAAGCACCAAGTTTTCTTTCAATTTTTTGCTTCATTTGGCGATGAGATACATCTATAGGGAACATCATATTGATGGGCTTGTGTGACTTAAACACAACACCAACATCAGTTTGTAGAATTTCGCCATTATAATGGACAACTATGAAGAATTTGTTGCTTATTGTTTGAAATATATTTGGTTAGAAGAAAGAAGTTTGTTGTGTAAGAGATTGAAGATGAAAGGAGTGTTTTGTGTGTGTAAGAGATGAAAAGAGTGTGTTATGTATGTTAAATTTTTACATTGAATTTAAAAAAAAATTGTATGTTCAACCACAGTCAATCCAACGGTCAACAAATTCAATTCTTTACCCGTTGGAACTCGTCACATCGAAGTGGCGTGTTCCATCAGTAATAAAATAATATTTTTTCAATGATTTTATAAAATTCAAAAAAATATTTTTTATTGGGACTCGTCATGCCCGCTTGAAGAGCCCCGTAACATATATTAAATTAATTCAAGTTGTGGGACCTACGTGACACAGCTCATTAAAAAAATATCTTATGGAACTCATCACGCCGGAATGACAAGTTCCATGAGCATTATAGCATTTTCCCTATATCCCAAAATAAATTTTTTTATTGTTTTATTGGGCCAAATAATCCACTTGCATGGATTATTAAGCTAAAAATTCCGTTGGGTGAGCCATCATTTAAGATTGAGGCGGGGGCGGCCAGTGCCGGCTACTAGAAAGGTAAAATTGCTTATCCAAGACAAATATTTTGTTGGTTGACATAGAAAGCGCGCTATCAAAGATTTATAATTTATAATTTTTTTCTTTATAGCATGTTTTTTTGAAGAATTATGTAGAGATTTAAGATGAAATTTAACGTAATCGAATGAGAAGTCGTCATGTTGCGTAAGGAAAAAAAATTTGGACCCAAGTCTTAGTTTTCGTCGATATTCGCAGAGTTGGTGACAATTGTTGTCATCTTTGATTTGGTAGTAATTTTTTGTGTCACAGGAACTAAATTGAAAGGAAATTAAAATTACAAGGAATAAAATGAAATTTTCAAATTATATGTAGTAAAAGTACACGTATCAAATATTTATAAATATTTATATATTATTTTATAGAAAAACTATTTTTTTAAGTTTGACAGATTGAAAAAGAAAGAAGTCAAAGATTTATAATTGTTAATAAAAATTAAAATTAAAAGTATTTTTTGGCACAAAATGGTGTAAAGGCGTCCTCCACGTCTTGTCAGCATGTAAGGTTATATGTATAAAAAAAAGATCTTCTCGACTAAACACTTAGGCCCAGGGATGGAGGTCCATTAGGGCCCAAAGAGTTCCGATGCCTGTTGTGATTTATAAATTTAATTTTTATATTAATATAAGAATGTAAAAAATTAGATAAAGTATAAGTTTAGTATTTAAATTATTATTTTTATTTTATTTTAGTATCTAAACTTTATTATTTTTAAAATCATATCTAACATTTAATTTAAGTTTTAATTTGGTACCCATCATTAAAAAATTAAGATAACTATTGACATGACATTCTTTTTATTTTCCAATGAGAACGTAATATTATCTTATGGTGACACATCAATATCACCATTAAGTTTTTAACGGTGGAATATCAAAATGAAACTTAAAGTAAATGTTAGATATGATTTTGAAAAAAATATAAAGTTTGGGTACCTTCATAGAACAAAAATAATAGTTTAGATATTATTTATCTTAAAATTTACAGAAATTTTATCTTTATCAAAATATAATATAATAAATTGTAAAGTATTCGTTGTAAATTACGAAATTCAATTCATGATTTGATCATAGATGCGGCGAACTTGTCAATGACGACGAGAAGAGAATAGCTAAAAGAAACGTCAACATTGAAAAGCAATGGGGAGACTTCATTATTTACTTTGTTTAATTTCAAAGATGATTTTGTGGATGCTTCCTATTTGGTTTATCATTTGACAAGGATGTGGATTCAAAGGTTTTACTATGAAAAACAAGGATTTGAATAATTTATATGTTTATCGGAATAACAGTCGTTATATAATATTAGTGATATAGATATATTTAAAGGTGAGCTTACCTAAGTCATAGCCTATCGTATGCCCTACAAAAATTAAAAAATAATTTAAATAAAAATATGTTAAAAAACTATATTGGTCTAGTTGGTAAATATTTTTGGATTCAGTTTAAATATATATAATTATTATTATATTTTTAATTTAAAAGATACATATAAATTATATTAGATACTTTTTTTATTATATTTATATCGGTCCACATGATATAATTTTTATGTATTTATTATTGGGTAGTAGTACCATCCGAAATCTCTTTTTTCAAAAATAGGGGTGTGAAGTGCTTCCCACCAATAACTATTGATAGCGGTAGTAATTTAACGGGTAACGGCCAGCAACAATAATAGTAGGTTGTTATTCTCGTTATTATTTCGCTATGGTAAAATTAAATAAATAAAACCACAATTTATTCTAATAATTAAAATTATTCTGTTTTATAGTAAATTGTGCGTATTTAAAAATGTTCACAATCGTGATATCTACAATAACTACAATAATATCAATTATATTTATAATTACGATAAACATAAAACAATAAAAAAATATGATTGTAATGGTAATTTAAATTCCTAGGATACGGTTGGGTGAGCCATCATTTAAGAATGAGGCGGGGGCGGCCAGTGCCGGCTGCTAGAAAGGCAAAATTGCTTATCCAAGTTTTGAAATTTTGACAAATTAAACTCCATTCAATTTATAAAAACACATCCTGTGAGTAATTTGGACCCAAGTCTTGGTTAGTTTTCGTCGATATTCACAGAGTTGGTGACACTTGTTGTCATCTTTGCTTTGGTAGTAATTTTTTGTATCATAGGAAGTAGACCCTATTCTCATATGTAATGGGGTGAGGAGAGGTAGGATAGTAGGTTGCCCCCAACGCCAGGTTGAGAGTAGCTTCCGTAGAAGACATCCGACAGTCAGAATTATAAATTGTCTACAGTGAGACTCGATCCCACGATCACAAGGTTAAGAGTCTTGAAAGTACACATATCAAATATTTATATATTATTTTATAGAAAACTATTATTTTTTTAAGTTTGACATATTGAAAAAGAAAGAAGTCAAAGATTTATAATTGTTAATAAAAAATTAAAATTAAAAGTATTTTTTTGGCACAAAATGGTGTAGTGGCGTCCTCCACGCCTTGTCAGCATGTAAATCTCGATTAAACACTTAGGCCCAGGGATGGAGGTCCATTAGGGCCTAAAGGGTTTCGATACCTGTTGTGATTTATAAATTTAATTTTGATATTAATATAAGAAATGTAAAAAATTAGATAAAGTATAAGTTTATTACTTAAGTTATTATTTTTATTCTATTTTAGTATCTAAACTTTATTATTTTCAAAATCATACTTAACGTTTAGTTTAAGTTTTAATTTGGTACTCATCATTAAAAAAAATTAGCATAACTATTGACATGATATTCTTTTTATTTTTCAATGATAACGTAACATTATCTTATGGTGACAAGTCAATATCACTATTAAGTTTTTAACGAAGCGGTATCAAAATGAAACTTAAACTAAACGTTAGATATGGTTTTGAAAAAAATAAAGTTTGGGTACCTTCATAGAACAAAAATAATAGTTTAGATACTAAACATATAATTTACCCTAAAAATTATAGAAATTTTGTCTTTATCAAAACATAATATAACGAGTTGTAAAGTCTTCGTTCATTAAAGGTAAAGGTGAATCACGAAATTTAATTCATTATTTGATCATTGATGTTAACTTAGGATTATCTAATTTTTTTGAATAGGTTGGTTATAATTACTCAAGATGCCTTAATAAATTAATCTCGTCTTAGTTTATCGTTAACCAAAAAGACGTTTGAATGATTAATTTTCTTGTTAATTAGAAAACCACACATAGACGCTCTTAAGATTTAATCTATTTAACAACTTTATGACAAAAAAATCTCTAACATTTGATTAGATAGTCACTTTGGCTCATATTTCTTTTTAGAGCATTTTGGACCACAACGTCTCATTTTGAGATAAAAAGACCCATATATGAACAAAAATTGTTAGTCGAATAATCAACACTGTAAAATAGAGACCTTTTTTACCCTAAAATAAAACGTTACGAGCCAAAATGCTTCAGAAAAAAGGAATAATAGCTAAAGTAATTATCTAGTCAAACTTAAGAGTCTTTTTACCCTAAAATGAAATGTTGGGGCCAAAATAATCCAAAGAAAATATACGAGCAAAAATGACTATTTAATAAAACATTAGGATTTTTTTTTTGACATTATGCCTTTTTATTCTTCTAAAGTGTTGAAGTTTATACTTCCAAACGATTTTTGATATGGAAATTAACGAATGATCTATGATTATAGAGAAAATTATATATTTTTCATTTAGTAAAGACTGAAGTCTGTGTGATCCAAGTTTACTACTTATTGATTGTTAGTGTAAGGACTAGCCTTAGATTGTATCAGGTAGAGTTGATACTTATCTCTTCCAATAATGAAAGTTTATATAACAATATATATATATATATATATATGACGGAAACTGAGAAGGGACGATGATAAATATATAATTAGATTAGAAACTGAATCTGACAACGTAGCCATACATATTCCAACTTGTTTGTAGAGGGGGAAAAAACTTTACAATATTATTACATGGAAGCAGAAAGACGGTTAATCCTCCATGATCTCCTCCAGGAGCTTCAGCACATGAAGCATTGTTGGTCTATTGGCAGGATTTTCGGACAGGCAAACTTGAGCAATACTCAGTACCTTGAGCATCATCTGCTTTGAATCTACATTCAACGCCATTGCATCTAAAACATCAGCAGCCTGACCCATTCTCGTCTTCTTCGACACCCACCCGACCAAGTTCCCTCCTTCGATCTCCTTGAAATCGGGGCCTGTTGGTTCTTTTCCCGTCACCAGTTCCATTAGAATTACACCGAAACTATAGACATCTCCCTTTGCACTGCACCTGCTGCTCTGTCCGTATTCCGGTGGGATGTAACCCAAAGTCCCTGCAATGTCCGTGCTAACATGCGTTTCACATGCACTGATAAGCCTTGCCAGCCCAAAGTCGGCAACTTTAGGTTCAAAGTCTTCACTCAGTAAGATATTGCTGGCTTTGATATCCCTGTGGATGATATGAGGGATGAAACCGTGGTGAAGAAAAGCCAACCCTCGAGCAGCACCCACTGCGATTTTGAAGCGTTTTGGCCAGTCAAGGATATCGAGAGCTCCAGTGCGGTTCCTCAACCAAAGATCCAAACTTCCATTGATCATGTATTCATAAACAAGGAGCTTCTCCTCGCCCAGGGAACAGTATCCAAGCAATGGGACAAGGTTTTGGTGCTTCACCTTACCCAAGGTTTCCATTTCAGCAATGAATTCCCGATTGCCCTGTGTTTTTGCCTGGCTTAGCTTCTTGACCGCAACTGTCTTCCCGCTAGGCAACTTAGCTTTGTAAACCGTTCCAAACCCTCCATCTCCTATTATATTTGTCTTACAGAAGTGACTGGTGCCCTCAACAATGTCACCTAAGGTGAGTTTCAGGAGTGGCTGCTGGAACATTGCTACATTGATGCTCAGAGGCTCCTTCGATCTGATGCTACCCAAGAAATAGAGCTCCTGATCTATAAAGGTCTTCAGTTTAGTTTCCTCAGTTTCTTCCGGATCATTTTGCCGACTACTACTCACAATCCATCTCCGTAGAACAAAGGCCAGAGTAAAAATGATGAAGACAGTTGCAGCTGCGATCGCAGCAAGGCCCCAAGCATTTAACAAAGAGGATCTCTCGAGACTTGTGATCCGGCACTCTAAACCCATGATTCTGCCACACAGATCATTGTTTCCAGCAAGTAAAATCCTTGACAGGTTTTGGCAAATACCATTCCGGGGTACAGGACCTTCCAACCGGTTTTCTGCCAGATTCAAGTAGAACAGATTGAACAGCTCGCATATTTTCTCCGGAATCTCTCCTGATAATCTGTTTCCCGATACATCAAAATATTCAAGTTGCATCAAGTTACCAACTTCTGAAGGAATCTCACCAGTGAACATATTCCCATGAAGATCTAAGTAAGTCACATAAGACAAATTGCCCAAAGAGTGTGGCAAGTGTCCACTGAAAATGTTGTTACTCAAATTCATGTCTTCAACCTTCCATGACAGGGAATCGGAGAACAGATTAGCTACCCCACCAGAGAGCCTATTCTGCTGAACATATAGCCCCACCAGGTTAATAGTCTCCGACAGCGAAGAAGGTAGCTCCCCAATAAGATCATTTCGGCTTAAATCCAAGTGAGTAAGCTCATTCAAGTTCCCAAAACTTGCAGGAATAACACCTGATAACTTATTGCCAGTCAAGTTTAGCTTCACCAAACTACCAACATGACCTAAGCTTTCAGGGATGGCGCCAGTAAGCTCATTATTCCCCAAATACAAGCCCTGAAGCTTGAGAGAGTCACCAAATTCAACAGGAATTGAACCTGTTAGCAAATTTCCAGACAAATCCAAAGTTGTAAGATTTTTCAGTCGAGAAAGTGATCCTGGAATCTTGCCAGTGAGCATATTGTTGTTGAGAAGAAGATCCACCACCACCACACAGTTTCCCAGTTCTTCAGGTATTGGACCAGTCAATCTATTGTTCGACAAATCGAATACTCCATGGTGCTGAACAAAGCTTAAATCAGGCATATTAACCTGACTGAAATACGATGATGGTTTTGAAGGGATTGAACCTGATAGATTATTGTGAGAAAGAACCAGGCATTGCAGCAGTAGCAAATCTGCAAGTTCCACCGGGATTGATCCACTCAAATTGTTGTTTCCAAGATCCAATGTTGTCAATCCTCTGCAGTCTCCAATTTCAACTGGTACATGTCCTTGTAAGAAATTTGAGTTCAAGTTAAGCACAGAAAGAGCTGTTAGATTGCCAATCTCCTTAGGTATACCGCCCTTCAAGCGATTATGATTAAGAACAAGGGTCTGCAATGTAACAGCATTACCAATTTCAACTGGCAAAGAACCTTCTAGCATATTATTTCCAGCTGAAAACTCCATCAAAGTTTCTGTACTCCATAAGCTCACAGGTATACTACCAGTGAAATTGTTGGAGTCAAGGTCAATAACCATCAATGGAAGCTCTGAAAGATACTCGGGCACTGAACCATTGATATGATTCTTAAACAAAACCAACTGAGTGAGATTTCGACATTTCACAAACACATTTTCGATAGTACTCGACAGGTTATTGCCATCAAGATTAATCTCCAAAAGTGATTCCGCATTGCATAACTCACTCGGTATCGCACCCGACAAGTTGTTATTGCTCAAACTAAGGTGCTTCAGCATTGAACAACTCCCAATCTCAGGAGGGATATTACCTGAAAATCGGTTGCTCGAAAGCAGCAATGACTCCGCTTTGTTCCATTTCCCAAGCCAAGGCGGCAATGGCCCAGAGAGCTGATTCATTTCAGCTGAAAATGTTAACATAGGCAAATTGGAAAGCTCTTCAGGCAAGGACCCGGATATAGAATTAAAGGACAGCATCAACATAACCAACTTCTGGCAATCTCCAAGCTGTGCTGGTAAAGAACCATTGATCTCAGAGTAAACAAGGGTCAATATACTCAAATTCTTCAACTTTCCTATGGATTTTGGGATGGAACATTTCAATGGGTTATATGAAAGGTCAAGGTTGGAAAGCAACTTTAGACTGAATAGTTCTTCAGGTAAAGGCCCTGTTATGGAACAGGAGGGTGCAAAGAAGTTCTGAAGCAGTGAAAGGTTACCAATTTGAGGTGGCAACTGCCCCGTGAATTGATTACTACCAATGTAAAGAGCGGTCAGGTTTTTAAGGTCACCAATTTCTGGTGGGATGTTACCAGAGAATGAATTGTTGGAAATATCTAGAGAGGTTAAAGATTGAAGGTTTTTGAAGAGAGTTAAAGGGAGAGAACCTGAAAGGAAATTGTTGGCTAGGTCCAAGAACTCTAACCGAGTCAACTTCCCGAGCTGAGCCGGCACTGTTCCACTGAATGCATTGGTGGAAAGTTCAATAGTACGAAGAGCTTTCAGGTTGCCGAGCTCCGGAGGGATTTTTCCGGTGAGAAAATTGGACCCGAGTTTGAGAGTCTCCAGCATAGTCAACTCAGCCAACTCAACCGGTATTTGGCCAAACAGAAAGTTGGAGGACAAGTCCAGAAGGGTGAGGGTGGAGAGGGAGGAAAGGGACGGAGAGAGTGGACCTTTCAAAGACCTAGTTGTAAGTGCAAGAACGGTGACTCGACCGAGTTGGCACACGACACCATCCCATTCACAGTGATGAGCTTTCCGGTTCCATGCAGAAAGGAGATGAGGGTTCTGAAGCCCTGTTTTGAAAGAAATAAGAGCTTCCCTTTCTGGGTTTCGCTCCTCTCGAGCTCTAATGGCGCCCAACAACAACAAATGGAGAAGAAAACAGAGGAAGTGAAACGAAAGCTTAAACTCCATGGCCAAAGAAGTGAACTTTACAGGGTGAAATGAACAAACAGTGATAAAGACATGAATGATCAAAGTAGGGAAGAAAAAGAGAGGGATATAAATAAAACAGAGAAGAGGGAAAAGATTGAAGCTTGAAGAAGCGACATGGCAGAGATAGAGGGAGAAGGGTATTTTGGCAAAGAAGTCGTGTGTCAGAGACTGTGGACAACGTAGCTCACGTGGGTTGAGCTTTTGTAACGCCAATTCTCAATCTTTTTCTTTCCGGGGTTTCAAAGAAATCCTTGGCTATTTTGTGAAAATAATATAAAGATAAATTATATGTTGAATATTTAAACTATCACTTTTTTTAGTCATTTAATTATTTTTATAAAATAATATTTAAGGTTATATTTTAATTTTATTTTAATCATATATCTTAAAAAAATTATCAAAATTACTGACATTATAATTTTTTTTTAAAATAATGATAATGTGGCATTCCTCTATGTTGACATGTCAGCATTATCATTAATTTTTTAATATTAGGTGACTAGTGACGAATTTAGAAATATTTTTGAAGATGAACACATATATATCAATAACAAAAAAAATTGTATGAGGTTAACACAAATTAAATTTGAGGGTGAACACTATCTATAAAATATACAATTAACATAAAAAAATTCAGATTTTAGCATGACCACGTGCCCACCCTGGAGCACATCTACATTCATCGTTATGGTTGACTAAAATGAAACCAAAATTAAATGTTCAGATGTTAGGTATGATGTTGGAAAAAAATAGATAGGTGACTAAAATAAAACAAAAGTGATATTTAGGATATTAAATCTGTAGTTTACCCATTATATAAATGAAAGTTAGTAGTAGTCCATTTTTTGGTTAGGAATGATTAATGTTGGAACCAAAATCTTATTATTAAATTTAATGGATTAAAGGGTGTCCCTTGTAAATTTAGGAGACAGTTGGAAGTGTCAATGCGGTAAATGAATGGCATTTGTTATTGAATTATGTTAGCAGGTGAGTATTAGTAATATAGTTTTCTTCTGCCTTTAATTTAAAATAAATGTTGAAATTATATTATTTTTATTTAGGTAGATAATTTTTGTTAAAATAAATATTTTATATTTTATAATTATTTCTAAGTCGATTGTAAAAGAACTAATAAATGAGTGACATGTAACTTTTGATCGTCTTTTTTATCTTTCTTTTTCAAATTTCTAACGAAAAAAATGATCTTAATAACTCATCAATGTAGGATAATAATTTTTTTACCAAATGGCCTAAAAATAATTAAAGAATGAAACATTACACACATGTACTAACTTCAAAAAATCAAGGCATGCGAAAAAAAAGATCTTAATGATTTACAGAATAGTTATTTTGATACATTCTTTTTTTTTTTTGGCATTTTGAAACACGACCCCTAAAAAAATCTCTTGATATTTGATTAAATAGTCACTTTAACTATTATTTTTTTTATAGAGTATTTTAGCCCTTATAATTTTATTTTAAGGTAAAAATGTCTAAATTTATTACCTTTAATTTTTTTGTTAGACTAACAATTTTTACCTATGAATATACATTTTTGTCCCAAAATAAAACTTTAAAGACTAAAATACTCCAAAAAAATAATAAGGACCAAAGTAACTAATTAATCAAATATTGAGAATATTTTTAATCATTATCCCAAAACTTAAATATCTATCTATCTATCTATATATATATATATATATATATATAGGTGTGTGGTTAATATCTTTTTTTTTGGTACAAAAAGGTTTAAGTTAGAGGTAGCTTCCCTAGTACAGTATCATGACATACCTAAGATCAAATTGAGATTTACATAGAAATTTACAAATTGTCAACCAATAGTGACGGTGGTAGGATTCAAACTTAACCTTACAAGCTCAAATTCCTAAATCCCAACCACTTGAACCAACATTCGTTGGCATGAGTAAAAATAATATACATTTACATAATGTAAAACTCTTTTACTTTTACACATATTTAAGATTTTTGGATGAGTGAAAATAGATAGCTAAGATTGAATCTTTTTTCTAGTAGATATCTTCTAATCTCCTACTTTTTATCTCATCCATCTATTTTCATTCATCCAACAATTTTAAATTTATGTAAAACTAAAAGAGATATACATCTCATATATATATATATATATATATATATAACTTTAACTCTTGTTTTATAATAAAGTATTTTTCCTTTTTACCAAATTTATTGGGTTTAGGTCTTAGGATGGGGGACTTTATTAATTAAAAAGAAAATAACTAAGTAGCTTTTATTTGCAACGTGTTTCCTGCTCTTAAGGGGTAATTATTTTTATTCTTTTTATGGCATTAAAAGTAGGGGTGTATTCGGTTCGGTTCGGTTTTTTACTAAAAATTGAATCGAACCGAAATAAACGGGTTTTCAATATTTAAACCGAAACCGAATAGTTAAAAAACCGAAAAAACCGAAACCGGTTTTTCGGTTCGGTTCGGTTCGGTTTTTTAAACGGTTCAGATTTTTCGGTTCGGTTCGGTTTATCAGTTTTTCAATAAAAAAATCACTTGAAATTATAATTTTTTTTTACAAAAATTGCCTATTCGGTTCAATATAGAACAAATGGGTTCCATATGAAAAACCTGAACCGAACTGAATTAAAAAAATAAAGCCTTTAAGCCGAACCGAAAATCGAACCGTTTAAAGCCAAACCGAATCGAACCGAATTATTTTACTCGATTCGTGTCGATTTTTCAATTTTCTCGATTTCGTTGCTCAGCCCTAATTAAAAGTTTCTTTTCTTTTGTTCTTTTCCTAGGGTTTCCTAGAACGTGATCGGGGATCATGCAATGAATCGATTATGATTACGTATAATAAGTGTAATAGAACAAAAAAGAAAATAAAGGTTAATAGAATATGTACTATTATTTTGAATGCATGGATAATGGGAGATCTTATCTAAATATCACAATTAAAAAATTATTTTAAAATCAATATTCTTTTCTTGAACGTTTACTGCCTAGAAAAAAATAAAAAGAATTTTATTCTTTACGGTATTAAAACAACAACATAAGGGAGAAAAGTTATGAGCTAAGAGATTTTAATCATTTACTTAAGAGATTATTAATAAATTAATATATTTCTGATTATTATTTGAATATGCACTCTTTTTTTCCAATCTTGTCCTTAAAATGTTAAAATAAATGCATCAAGAATATGTTTATTTAGATCTAAATCGGAAGATATTTAAGAAAAAAAAGAAGGAGAGACGACGACTGAGACGACACTTTAAAAGAAAATCGCATAATCACTTTAGAATGAAAACTACAAAATCATTTTAGAGAGAAAATGAGAGCTTGATTTTAGGGTTTAAATTTAGTATTTTTTTTATTACTCTCGAGTGATTGTAAGATTATATTTGTTTAAAAATTTTATACTTCAATGACGAGGAGTACTAATTCATTAAAAACGTTATGTATATATATATATATATGGGTACAACAGGAAAGGTTTGGAAGGTAAAAATAAAGTTATTTAAAGGTTGGTCTATTTGATCGACTTGATAGAGATTCAATTTGCATGGTCAATTCCTAGAGAAGGATTTTTTAGATTATAGTTAGACCAAATTACCCAAAAGTGGTGAATTTTATTTGTTTAAATTTTATGTGAATAAATTGGAAGGGTACTTGCCCCTAGGTTAGAAAAGGAAAATTGTATTTTTGGCTCTTATTAAAACCAATTATTTAATTTAATCTTTTTCATTTGGGAAAGTCCCCGAACTTTAAAAAATGGTTTAGAGAATCTCAGTTGTACTTTGCTTTCTTTTTTTCTTTTCTGCCCATTTCTCAATCCTAATTTTTTTGGGGAAAATATCGTTGTAAACAAAATCTAGATGAGGTAAAAGGTAAAAATAGAAAAGGGTAAATAACAAAAAGGGGCCCTGATTATTGAATGTTATCATATTGAGTCACTCAACTATTAAAAGTTATAAAATGATTCATTGACTATAAACTGATGCTTTGTTGAATCTCTAATTATAAAAAGTTACAAAATGTTCATCCGGCTATTCATATATTTCAAACTCATCATTTTTCGTTAAAAAATGACGGTCATATGAGTTAGACGTAAACCTATTGACTGATATATGATAAAATATGATCTCAAAACCGTTTGAGTTGTATTTTATGGATTGGTTATCTGTTTACATTATACCATCGAGCCAATGCTTAAAATATTATGCCATCGAGTCAGAGCTTAAAAGCAACAGAGGTGCCAGTAGACATCATTAAAAATGATTTTATTATATGTCAGTCAACAGATTAACGTCCAACTTAGATTGATAATTTTTTAACAGAAAAGAATGAGTTTAGAATATATGAATAGTCAGATGATCATTTTGTAACTTATAATAGTAGGATGACGCAACAAAACAATGCCCTTTAATTGAAGACCATTTTATAAATTTTAATAGTTTAAGGACTCAACAAAATAATATTTTATAATTGATGGATCATTTGCCACTTTACCCAATAAAAAATTGTAATTCAGGAATAAAGGTTTGTAAACGTGAATTATGTGTGGCCTTCACCTATAAAATGATCTTTTTACCTAACCCCAACACAACTGTAGAGTAAACTGAAGAGGTGAAAATTGAAATGCATGCATTGGGAACAACATAACTACCGACTCTATTCATTGACACAGTAAAATCACATTATAAAGCAAAAGGAAATGGTATAAATTAATTGATGTCTATCATTTAAAAAAAATGACTTCAATTTCATTTCATTAGATATTAATTAATATATTTTAAAACATATAAAGCCAAAGTGAATAGTAAATTATAAAAATACAATTTATTAATATAAGACAAAAGAAAATATAAATCTATTATAAATAATTTTTTTTTATCAATAGCATGATTTTTGGATTAAACATATATTTTCGTTGTATCTGAAAATGTTACAAATTTATATAACTTTTTCAGTTGTAAGTTCTAAACTCCTCTAATATAACCTTTTTTTCTTCAAGTGGTAATAAATTTGATATCGCTTAAGCAAGATCTCGAGTTCGAGTCCTTGTTGTTGGAACGATCCTTAAACTTTTTGAGGCTATGGCGGGGAGCGATCCAACTTAATTTTAGAAAATATTAGGTTTTAAAATAAATGCACAGATAACTAAATTTGGAGTCGTTATCGACCTTTAGATTAGGTAGGTCAAATACC